AAAAAAAAAAAAGGGACATGCGTCCACGAACCAGAGGCCTAGGGCACTTAGGGGCATGTGCACTCACGGCTGCACGCTCAGTGGGCATATACACTCAGGAGCACAGTTACACCCGTGGGTACCTGCTTAAGGGCTCAGATATATCTGTGGGCCCACCTGCACATAGGGAGACACTGTCCATCTCAGGCACACACTCCTGGGCACGGAGACTGGGTTACTCCCTGGCTACACGTTCATGGACACCCGAAGACCGACTCGGGGCATTCATTCCCACACAACCTCGTGTCCATGGGCTCACTGTGTGCCTTTCCCCATCCCCCAACATTTGCCAGGCCCTCCCCCTCCAGGTCCCCAAAGCCCCCCAGGTGCTCCCAGTATGAGATCTAAAAGCCACATTCTTTTGCATAGGCCTTTATCTTCACAAATCACAAACCATGAGTGCAGAAACAAAGGAACATACATGGGTACATGCTCTGAAGCCCCTTGGTTGCATAATCAGTCACACTCACATCGGCACAGGGCACACACTGCAACACCCACAATTATAGTGATACACAGGGTGCCCCACACACAGCGCCGCCATGACACACTTATACACAACATACTGCAGGGTACTCACACGTGTTCACAGTGCTACCCGTGTCGCCCACACCCACACTCACACTGACACACCTTTGGGGTCCTTGCTGACACAGCCACCTACTGTGTCATGCATTATGCTCACAACACACCATGATCATACACGTGGACAGCTTCACTGGGAGGGGTAGCTGGGCCTTCAATGTCTTCTCATTTGTTGAGGTCTCTGGGCAGGATGGAGACCCAATGTCAGGCATATCCCTCCCGCAGGAGGGAAACTGGAGCCACGTCTGTAGCTCCCTCCTCATCCACCTCCCCAGTCCCAACTTACATGAGCTTGGCTTCGTCTCCAGTGCCTTGGAGATTTCCTGTAAATCCTTCTTGATTTGGCTCATGTCTGGGGGCAGGAGGACAGGAGAAATCTGGTGTGGGGTCTCACACAGGGCTCCCATGTTTATTGGAAGCCTCCTCCCTGCCCAACCCCCAGCCTGGGGTGCTGCAGAGCCCGTGTACTTGGTGTTCCCAGCAGCATTTAAATATCCCCTGAGTGACTCAGAGGGTGACATCCATCATGCTTCTAAACACCCCCCCCCACTGTGTGCTGGGAGAATGGGACCCCTGCTGTCCCCTCCCCCAATTCCCCAGCACCCAGCATGAGACAAATTCCACCCAGGGAAGGTCTGCAACAGCACCTGTTAATAACATGTTCATTTTATCATCCGTGGACTGGACACTTCTCTGGACCGTGTCAATGTCCATGAGGAGCTGCTGGACGGAGCTCCAGCCCTGATTCTGCTCCTCCTGACACTCCCGCACCGAGTCGGAGACTGAGGCATGAAGTGGGCATGTCCGTATCACCACTGCTCTCCTTACCCCCACCCTGACCCCTTGGGCCTCCCCCAGGTCCCACCCTCACCATTCCAGAGCTCCCTTTTCAAGACCAGCAACTCCTGGGACATCTCAGAATCTGTTCAGGAGGAGGGGTAGGGGAGGCAGGAGAAGCCTTGAGGTGCCCCCAGTTCTGTAGGCCTGGGGACAAGGGTGGGGGAAGGGAGAGGACCGAGGGAGAAGGGAGACAGGGTGGAAACACTGGGCTGCCCACCTCCTGAGGACCCCCTCCACGCTGCCCCAGCCCCCACCAAAAACACAAAGAACAACAACAACAACAACCCCGAAACGAAAAGCCCTACTCACTCTTTGCCAGGACCAAGGCCAGGAGGATGAGGCAGGACAGGGCGAGGGGGGTGTACAGAGTCGTGAGGGCTCTGTGCAGACAACGGGGGACCCGGGCAGATTCTGAGGGTGGCCTAGACAGGGTTGGGACTGGGGTAGAGGCAAGACGGGTGACCTCCAGGGCCCAACACCACCACCCAAACCGTCTGGACTGACTCTTAACACCGTCAGAAACTCTGTCACCTGCACCCGCTCTTCCCAATGCTGTAGCCACTGGGACCACCAACATGCCCACTGACCAGAGCCACCAGCGGTTGTCCCTAATGCTGTCATCATCATGCTGCCCTTACCATCCCCTTTACCAGCACTCACAACGTCAACAGTAGCTGTCACCAACACCCATCCACAGCAGTGCCTACCATGGTCGGCATTGTCCCCAGCAGCAGGTCTCATCAGCACTGTCATTGGCTCTGTCCAGGTGGTTCCTTCCTGATCCACTACGTGGTCACCTCTCCACCATCACCAACACCCAGACTTTCACCAACACTTCCACCAAACACCAACACCACCGACATCATCATCCCCACCTGCGAAGCTAACCCCCCGCCCCCGACTGTAACACACATGCCCTGATGTCACCACGCCCCACACCTCTGACCCCGACCTCCACATGGGGCTCCTGGTTCCCATGATGCCCTACCATGGGCCCCTCCCAAGGCTGTGCAGTGTGTGCTGGCAGATGGCTGCTTGCCCTGATTCTTGAGGGCTGAATGGCTGCCCTTCAGCTTCTCCTGGTTTCTGAAGGTCAAGGTGATATTCTCATAGTCAGGGGTACCTGCACCTGTGGATGGGTCAGGGAGAGTGGAAACCTGCCCGGAGCTCTGGGGCGGGGGTGGGGGTAGGAAGGGGGCTCAGAGATCTTGGCTCACCAAACCCCTGCACACAACAAATTTCTGGGGATAAAAGATAAGAAATGGGGAAAACAAGATCTGCTTCTTGGTTAGGTGGAGAAGGTGTGCATGAGCGTTTGGGGGATACACATGCACACATACATTTTGGGGTAGGGGAATGAGTCCTGTGACCCCACTTTCAACCCCTTATCTCTCCCATCCCAATCTCTCCCACCTGACCTCTCCCCTCCCCACCTCGAGGTGCCTAACCTTCCTTATTGGCTGGGGCCCTCTGTTTCTTGTCTTTGAAGGCTGCTGCCTGCATCTTGACCTCCTGCTTCATGTAGATTTCCTCAGACTCCATGGTTCCCAGTCTGCCAGTTTGCCCACACACATCCCCACCCACCGGAAGGTGTCATGGCAGATGAGGAAATCTCTGGGTTGGGGGTAGGAGGAGGAGAGGTCAATCTCCTCTTTTCAGTGACCCAGGACCCTCCAGCCCTGGGGCATCATCACCGCACCCCACCCCCCAGATCAAGAGAGTCTTAGGAGACCAGAGGTCTCACGGAGGGCCAAGCAGAGAAGCCCATAGACCCAGAGACAGGAACCAGCATGATCAGGAACCAGCAACAGAGCTGTTAGCTAAGGCTATGGCGGTCATCATGTTGCAATATACAAATGTATCAAATCAACACCTGTACACCTCAAACATACACAATGTTATAAGTCAATTATACTCAATATAAATAAATTTTAAAAACTTTAAAGGATGGTCACAAACAGACACAAAAGGACACAAGCTCTGTATGTGTCTACCCAAATGAACATTGTCCCCTGCCCCTCTCAGGAGAGAATCTAGGCCCCTGGGAGTCCCACCCTTTAGGTTTGAGGTATCTGGGCTTTGGAGGCAGGATTTCTAGGTCTCCCACATCTTCCTACCCCCTGCCCCAGTCCTACCCCTCAGCTCCACCCCAAGAAATTCTACTTCTTCAAGGCCCCATGGAGGAAAGGAACGGATCTGAGGCAAGGGGACCAACCACTTGAGCTCCACCCATATCTGGGACAGAGCCAGATGCACGCCTTGACCTAACCCTGGACATGATGTCCCCTCTCCCTGGGTCCCCAGACAGAGAAACACTTGGAAACACTCACTGTCACCCACGCATCTGCTCACCTACCCACACTCATGCACACTCCCGGAAACCGTGATACATCTGCTCATGTATTCACATGGCTTGCCCACTGGCAGGCTTCTACACGTGTTTGCCCCAGAGAAATATCCATATTCATGCATTCACATGTCTGCTCTCTGTCTAGATGTCTTCAAGCTCTCTTTGTGTCTGTGACCTTGAAAACTGGAGATAAAAATGAGACAAAGTTTGTAGGGAATTCTCTCTTTAAGTTTAGAACAGTGCCTTCTGGTAGAAATATAATGTAAACCACATCTTTAATTTAAAAATTTCTAGCAACCACATTCAAAAGACGAAAAGAGACAGGCTAAATTAATTTTAATAATGCATCTTATTTAACATAATATACCCTCAAAATTATCACTTCAGCGTGTAAACGATACTAAAAAAATTGAGATATATTACCTTTTTTGGGTACTAAATCTTCAAAAATCAAACGTGATTTACACTCACGGGACATTTCAAGTGTTTGGTGGCTGTCATATTGGACAACACTGGTCTAGACCATTATGGTTCTCTCCCTTTGGAAAAAATAAGTAAAAGATAAAAAGACTTTTTAAAAAAGATTTTATTTATTTATTTGACAGAGAGATAGAGCATAAGCGAGAGATGATGGAGGGGAAGTGGCAGAGGGAGAAGAAGCGGGCTCCCTGCTCAGTGGGGAGCCCCTGCTGGGCTGGATCCCAGGACGCTGGGATCATGACCTGAGCTGAAGGCAGACGCTTAACTGACTGAGCCACCTGGGCGCCCTTTAAAAAGACTTTATATGTTTTAGCTTTTAAATGTATGATTAAATTTGAGATAACTTTGGAATGGTCCCCCAAGTTTTGATGAAAATAATGCTCTGTTTTCTAAACTATCGCTGACCTTGTCGGCTCAAGGATGACTGCTTTAACAGTGTTTTGATTCAACTCCTCTCTCTGATTTTTTTTTTAAGATTTTGTTTATTTGAGAGAGAGAGCGCACATGAGAGGGGGGAGAGTCAGAGGGAGAAGCAGAGGGAGAAGCAGACTCCCTGCTGAGCGGGGAGCCCGATGCGGGACTCGATCCCGGAACTCCAGGATCATGGCCTGAGCCGAAGGCAGTCGCTTAACCAACTGAGCCACCCACGCGCCCCCCTCTCTCTGATTTTAGAAAGAAGTCCGCAATTGAGAGATTCGACCCTCTCCTGATGTAACGGTCACCGAGGAGACGGACCAATGGGCAGCTGGCTCTGCTGTGATGGACAGGTGCAGGGGGTGGGGCCACAGCATTTCACATTTCTGTAGGTCGGTTGAAGCGAAGACCAGGCTGCACCCAGCCCTCTGGACAAAATAGCAGTTGTGAAACTGGAGGCCCGCGAGCAATCACAGTGGCTCGAGAGGGCTCTGTGAGGCTTCTCGACCAGCCGCTGTCTTAGGGGTAACAGTCTCAATTTTCTTTTAAGAAAGAATATGCGTCTCCAGGACAGCTAACCATAAACCAGTGATTGGTTTAGAGTAGGTACATGATCCAGGCCCAGCCAATCAGAGTCTAAGATTTGGCACAGGGGTGGGCACATGAGCCAGATTCAGCCAATGAAACTCAGGACTGCGACTTTTGGGGCATTAACCAGGAAAAAAGGCATTTACTCTTTTTTTTTTTTTCTCTCTCCACTGGGGCTCTCAGACTGGGAAAATGTAAGCGTGGAGCTGTGATGGGGGAGAACTTGCTTGAGAGAGAAGCCAGCATTGAGGAAAGCAGACCTGAGATCCTGGAGACATCATTTGAGGGCTAGATCCACCCATACCTGAATCTGTCATTCTAACCCTGGGCCTCTTGGTGCAGTTGGTTAAGAGTCCGACTCTTGGTTTCGACTCAGGTCCGTGATGTCAGAGTTGTGAGATTGAACCCTGCATCAGGCTCTGTGCTGAGTGTAGACTCTCTCTTCCTCTCCCTCTGGCCCCTCTGCCCCTCCCCACCCCGCACTCTCTCTCTCTAAAATAAATAAGCGAGGGGCGCCTGGGTGGCTCAATCGGTTAGGCGTCTGCCTTCGGCTCAGGTCATGATCCCAGGGTCCTGGGATCGAGCCCCGCGTCCGGCTCCCTGCTCGGCAGAGAGCCTGCTTCTCCCTCTCCCTCTGCCTGCCACTCTGCCTGCTTGTGCTGTCTATCTGTCGAATAAATAAATAAAATCTTTAAAAATTAAAAAAAAATTAAAAAAAATAAATAAGTGAATCTTTAACCCTGGGCTTCTCAGTTACATATCCAGAAACTTCCTCTTTTTTTTTCTTTTTTAAAGATTTTATTTTTAAGTCATCTCTACACCCAACATGGGGCTCAAACTCACACCCCGAGATCAAGAGTTGCATGCCCCACTGACTGAGCCAGACAGGCGCCCCCAGAAACTTCCTTTTACTTTTGCTCAAGCTAACCTGCAGTGGGGTTTGTGGCGCTTGCAACTGAAAAACTCTTGGCTACCTCAGGGGGGGCTGGGCGGTTGGCAAGTGAGAAAATGGAGGCTTGAGAAGGGGGCTTGCCTATCCAAGTCTGCACTCTGGGACAGGAGAATGACTGTGCTGGAATTGAGGACTCTGAAGAGGACTTTTTGGGGTCCAGACATAGGGGAACAATTGAATGGGACTTGGAGATAAAGAGGCATTCCAGTCAGTCTGGGGACAAAGGAGTGCACCCCCCCTCCACATCAGTGAGGGGGTGGGACAGGCAAGGTTCTAGACCCACCCTCTCTGCTCCTCAACACACTTCTGACTCAGTGGTCCCACCTCAACCCCATGGCCACATGAGGTTAGGAGGGAG